GGTGGAATTATTTAAGTCTGTGTTCTATGCTCCTCTGGAAAATACAGCATACATTTTAATTTTTTTTAATGTTTTTATTGATTTCAGAGAGGAAGAGCTAGATAGAAACATCAATGATAAAAGAGAATCATTGATCAGCTGCTTCCTGCGCACCCCCTACTGGGGATCAAGCCTGGAATCCGGGCATGTGCCCTGACCGGGAATCAAACCATGACCTCCTGGTTCATAGGTCCACTGAGTCACCAGGGCCGTCCTGCAGCATACATTTTAAAAGCCTCTGTGGCCAAGTAAGTTTAGGAAACACTGATCCAAATATTTGAAAGCCCTATGAGACCTATTCATCTTATTGACAGTTTATATGTGGACTGGCTACACTCTTACTATAAAATTTTAAATGTATGCTCTGTTGGTCACTGTCAAAGAGTGCTACAGAACCAACTCATTATTTTGGAAACTGGCAAATTAAGGGAAAGATTAAGCATTTATTTGCCTATTGGGCAACTAAATAGTAGATTAGTTTATTTTTATAGAAGTATTCTAGCTAATACATGAAGAAATTATAGAATTAAAATATTAACATTTTGCAACCCCTAATAAAGTGAGAGAGCTGACCATTGGCATCAATAGCAGCTGCTAACAAGAGTCAGCCAGCCATTATATCCCCTTCGATGGAAAAATAACTAACCTATGAAATTATCTTGCCAAGAACAACTGAACCTAATTTGATCAAGCCTTTAGCTCTCATCACCAATTTACAGGAAATAGACAGAGGAGAAGAAAGTGCTGAACTGTGTTATGGCATGATTAGCAAAATCCAGACTTGGGTAAACTCTACAAAACAACCTGGTTTCTTCAATAAATACACCACAAGGGCAGGGGATGGGGTGGGGGAGAGGAAGAATTTACTAGTTTAAGATTTAAAATTATAACAGATAGTCTTTATTTGGGTCCTAATTCAAACTAGCAATTTGTAAAAAAACAAAAAAACAAAAAAAAAACATTTGTGCTATTTCTGAGACAAATGAAAATGTATACACTGACTGCATATTTGATCTTATAGACTTATTATCAACGATTTTAGATGATGGTATTGTGGCTGTATGTTTTTAAAGGAATTGCTTTTTAAAGATACTTAATGTGCCTTGGCCAGGTGGCTCAGTTGGTTAGAATGTTGTCCCGTACACCATAAGGTTGCAGTTTTGATTCCCAGTCAGGGCACATATGGGAGGCAACAGATCTATGATTCTCTCTCTCTCTCTCTCAATGGCTTCCTCCCTGGGGGAAAAGTCTAGTAGTGAGGTGGGGAGTCTTCCAACATGCTGTCGGTGATATAGCTGGAACCAAGATAGGATTCATAGTAACTTTTTTCATCAAAAGTATTAACAGTCCAACCAACCACCTGAACGCCTTTAGCGGACCACTTCTTTAAGTAGTTCCTGGAGAAAGAGGAAAAAACAAATCTGTTAGAACAATGACCAGCTGGCCCAGGAATCTATGCTGGTCACTAAGTCTGGTACTCACTGAGTACTCACAGTGCTCAGAGAGCCTCTTAACTGGCCTCTGCACTGAAATCAGAGGGAATGTTCCAAAAGCCAGTGGAAATCTCCTCCACACTGTCACAGCTTAAAACTTTTCAGGGGCTTACTAAAAATCCCACCCCTCCCCAATAAGTCATAACAGAGGCCGTTCCTAGCTTAGTTCCACCTGCCTCTTTGGCCTCATCTTAAACCATACTCCCCCTTTCTTTCCTGTGCTGCAGTATATTGACTTTCTTTTAATTCCTTGAAACAACCGGATTCTTTGCTGCCACGACATTTTTTTTTTGCATGTGTTTCTCCCTCTGATTTGATCTCCACACCGCTCCCCTCAGTTCCTACTCACCCTTTAGCTGTTTTCCCCAACTCCCCTGACTAGGTAAAATTATATATGCACACTGTTCTCACCTACAAAGCATTTATCTTAGCTGTAATTTGTTGAATTTTTATTTGATTAGCATCTATCTCCTTTTCCACTTAACTATAAACTCCATGAGGACAGAACATGGCTTTGTTTCTTTACCACAGTATCTTCAGATTCTTAATACCTTGCAATACTGTAGACCAAGCATGTCAAACTCGCGGCTGGCCACGAGAGTTTGACATGCTTGCTGTAGACATACACCAAATATTTATTGAATTAAATGCATACAAACCTGAAATAATATGAAACTTAAATTATAATCAGCTGAAATACACAGCTACAAAACTGCTAAAAAACAGATTGCCAGCACGTTAGGGAACAAGAAGTTTTGGAAACAATGGAGCAGAGCCTGCGATGTAGAGGGCAGTGGGAGGAAAGACTGAAGAGATGAGTTAGGCACCCACAGGACATCTTCACTGTGGTTCTGTCTGACCTGGGTCCTACATTGGTTTTCAAAGGAGACGATCACAAGGAAATGTAATTTCTCTCTCATCAGTTTGACAAATTTATTTTTTCTATAAAATGCACTTAAAACCAAGAATATTTGATCAACTTGTTTTCGGAAATAATAAAGTATGCCTGAACTCTTCCCACCTAAGAAGCTAGTGGCATTCCAACTTAATAAAGGCGCGTTGGGCTCTGTGGGTGGGAACTTATCCAGGCTGTCCACTGTTACTCTTCCTTTCCAAGAAGAGCATTCAAGAAATGTGTCAGAAGATAAAATACTGTCCAACTTACGGGGATATAGAATCCTTCTGTACGAGGAAAGCTGAAATTCCACACAGGTACCACAAGACATTATGCATGCTCCAGTCGAGTAAAATGTCTAAGACCACAAATGTGGACAGTTTCCACATGTTATCATAGCGTGGTTTCCCATCTCCCGTATAGCTAAGGCTCCAAGGTCTGTGAGTTAAAGCCGTTACTACATTCCGATCTGTTTGTCTCATCTGAAAAGGAATTTTGGAAAATATAATAATTATCATAAGTCCAATACCTCTCACTTCTTATTTAAATTTAGCCAATGTTCTCATTCTGAAAAGTGAGTTAGTACCCTGTCCCCATGTCTACTAAGTAAGTACTCTATCATAAACACTTTGAGAAAATAAGGTGACAGAGTAAAGCATCTATATACATAAAAGCCCAGCGACCCTAACGGTGGAACAACCAGAATGACCGGAACAACTAATCGCTATGAAGCGCACTGCAGCTGCCAATCGGCCCGATCCGGGCCCCAATAGGGCCCCAACCTCCTGCAGCCCCTCCCCCCCAGCCAGCCCTGCCCCCAA